GGCGGACCGGCTTCGGGACTCGCTGGCGGTTCGGGTCCCTGGTTTGCGCTGGGCAGGGCTGGGCCCTTGTGTGGGAGGTTTGAAATATATCGAGCGTCTTCGGGGTAGACGGAACTGTGCATATATGTGTTAAAATTAATTAATTAGTCAAACAGTGCTTGATTTGCGATTTATTTGCAATCAAAGCCAATATTTTGCTTTTTAATGAGAAAACAGTCTTGATTTTCTCGAGCCTTGATGACCTGATTCTTATTTATTTCTTTTTGAGAGAGGTTTTTTGCTACAGGACGCGTGCGCACGCCAGAAGAGACAGAGACAGAAAGCGAGAAATCACCCCCCAGGGGAGATGGTTCCGCTGCAATCCCTTCTCCTCCATTCTCCTCTTGGGATCTTGGGCACGCACGCACCCGCGCCCGGCCTGAGTTTAAGCTACCGGGTCCGGGACTCAACCCGCTGTCGGCTACGTGGCAGTCCAGCGACATAGCCATTACGGTAACTGCTGGTCCCCTCTACCTGATTCTTATTTCTTACTTTCTTTCCTTACTCTTATTTTTACTTATTGTTTATTTAAATAATTATTTTATTTAACTTTATTTGTTCATTTTTAAAAACTTGTCAGAGAGGGACAGAGGGACCAGCAATTAGCATAATGGCTGTCGCTGGACTCCCACGTAGTCGACTGTGGTTCCAGTCCCGAACCCGGTGCCTTAAACTCTCTTCAGGCACGTGTGCGTGCGTGCCCAAGATCCCGAGAAGAGAACGGAGGAGAAGGGATTGCGACGTGGCCATCCCCCCTGGGGGTGATTTCTTGCTTTCTGTCTCTCTGTCTCCCTCTGTCTTTCAGGCGAATGTACACACCCTGTAGCAACAACCTCTCCAAAAAAAAAAGGGGGGGGGGGACAGAAAAAGAGAGTGAAAGTGAGAAAGCTAGCCACCAGGTACCGGACTCGAACCACAGTCAGCCATTTGGGAGTCCAGTGCCTTCAACCACCATGACACCTGCCGGTTTCCTTACTTATTTAATACACAAATCTCTTTTTAGCCCTTGATATTTCCCTAAGGGGTGATTTACTGGATCTGGAATATGTGTGGGTGTATAATTGATAAGCTCTGGCTAAAGTCGCGTGGTTGCAAAAATGAAAGTAAACTGTGTAAAGGAGTGGGCTCTAAGTTTCACTTTCAGTTAGCAGCAGTACTGTTAAGGGAGTTCCTTTTTTCTAGATTAAAGTGTGGAACAGTGTTTGGCATGCATGGAACTTTCTTAGTTCTCTAGTTAAAATCAAAAGCTGATTTATTAAACTTCCTTTTGATTTGATTTAAAATGTATCATCTCATTTCGTTGTCTATAATCAAAGTTTTGTAAGAGTTTCAAGACAGTGTTTTAATTTTTTTTACAAGAGTGAGGTCTCAAGCAGTATATATCCTAACACTGTTGATTTGCTCCCTGGGGTGTCAGAAATAGACTAGGTTTGTGACACCCTGTGGTCCTCTTCTGGGCTGGTGGCTTGGATGGGAGCTCTGAGGGCTATGCATTAACCCTTCTGAATAGTGGGGCTCCAGTAGTCAGGCCATGACATTATGAGAATGTCGTGCATGGATGTGCCATTGTGCTGTATCATAAAATGTATGCAAAACTTTTTTAGTGTTGTAAATTTTTTAATGTTAGAAATTCAGAGAGTAGGGGACCAGCAGGTGGCATGGTGGTTAAGGCGCTGGACACTCCCACATGATCAACCATGGTTCAAGTCCCAGACCTGATGGCTTGCTTTCTCACTTTCCTTCTTTCCCTCTTTCTCTCTCCTTCTCTCTGTGTCTCTCTTTGGTCAAACTAAAAAAAATAAAATGAAGAATAAATAAAATGAAATAATTCTTTAAAAAGCTTCCGGGAGTATAGAGTATTTTTTATGAGTAGTTGACAGTGCAAGGTAGGTTTTCTTTGCTAAGCTGCCAGAGTGGTTGTCTTTTGTTTTGTGCTAAATAAATTAGCCAAAGTGTGAGAGAATTACAAGCTCTTTTTTTTTTTTGGAGAGGTTTTTGCTATAGGGCGTGTGCGCTCGCCAGACAGACAGAGAGACAGAGAGACAGCAAACGAGAAATCACCCCCGGGGGGGATGGCCACGCCGCAGTCCCTTCTCCTCCATTCTCCTCTCGGGATCTTGGGCACGCACGCACATGTGCCTGGCATGAGTATTAAGCCTCCGGGTCCGGGACTCGAACTGTGGTCGAGATAACATGGCAGTCCATCCACATAGGCTGGTCCCCAAGCTCTGTTTTTTTTTTTTGTTTTTTTAGGATACATGTGCTTGCTGGAGAGACAGAGAGACAGAAAGTGAGAAGTCATCCCCCCAGGGGCGTGGCCACAGATCTTGGGCACACATGCACACAACCCAGTGTGAGGTTTAAGCTGCCAGGTCCAGGACTTGAACCATGGTCTACTAGGTGGAAGTCTACCAATGTAACTATTATGCCATCTGCTGGTCCCTATAAGCTCTGTTTTGAATTGCTTGGAGTTCATTACTTTAAGGTTTCATCTTTTTCCTAAGTCAGAGAATAATAGCAAATGTAGAAATAGAAAAATGTAATGATCCTTGCTACATATTAGCAACTTTGTATTTTGTGTATGTAATATGTAACTGAATATATGATATATATTTATAAACATGCATTTTTAAAGAAGCCTAGAGCTAGATAAAACCTTAATGAGATTAAACTGGAGAGAGAGGGAGAGGGGAATCTCTGCATACTCTGTGGAAACCTCATGTAGGTAAGTTATAAAACATTTGAAAACGTGGTGTGGGGTTTTACTGATGTACAGTTTTGCTTTCAAGGATGGCGCAAAAGAAATATCTTCAATCAAAATTGACCCAGTTTTTAAGGGAAGACAGGATTCAGCTTTGGAAACCTCCATATACAGATGAAAATAAAGAAGTTGGTTTGGCGTTAAAGGTATTTTCTTTTAAGATAAAAATAACTGGGGCTGGCAGGTAGTGTGGTGAGTAAGGTGCTGGACTCCCACATGACTGACTGTAGTTCGAGTCCCGGATCTGGCAACTTGCTTTCTCGCTTGCCCTTTCTCTCTCTCTGTTTCTGTGTGGTCAGATAAAAAATAATAACAAATGCAGGACCAGCAGTTAGCGTAATGGCTGTGTTGCTGGACTACCTTGTAGTCGACCGTGGTTCGCGTCCTGGACCCGGTGGCTTAAAACTCATGCTGGGCGTGTGTGTGTGCATGCCCAAGATCCCGAGAGGAGAATGGAGGAGAAGGGATTGCGACGTGACCATCCCCCCTGGGGAGTGATTTTTTGCTTTCTATCTCTCTATCTCTCTGTCTCTATGTCTCCCTCTGTTTGTCTGGTGAGTGTGCACATACCCTATAGCAAAAACCTCTCCCCCCCAAAAAAAAAAATAACAAATGGAATTCAGTACATAAGTAACATACGTGTACATATACATACAAATATATATGCGTGTATGTATGTAATTAGCAATGCTATGCATCGCTAGGTGAATAACGTTCTGAAGTCACTAGAAATTGCTGGGTGTGACCACAGTTGCCCTGGCAGGAGTGTGAGTGGTGGGGAGGCACCTGCTTATTATTAGGGGCTGCCAAGCTTATTTCTGTTAACTAACATTCATTTGATGATGCTGCCTGATTTCTTGAGCATATACTGTTTTTTCTTAAAAAAATGATTTTATTTAACTTTTATTTATTTATTTTAATTTGACCATAGAGGGACAGAGTGTATGTGAGAAAGAGAGATTGAGAGAGGGAAAGTGAGAAGCCACCAGGTACAGGACTCGAACCGTGGTCAGACATGTGGGAGTCCAGCGCCCTTAACCACCATGCCACCTGCTGGCCCTGGCATATACTGCTTTTAATACCTTTACAGCATTGCTTGAAATTAGTTACTTAGGGAGGAAAACCCATGGCCTAATGGTTAAGGCAGTTGGATCCCACATGGCCAACCTCATGGTTTGAGTCCCAGACCCAGCAGCTTAAAAGGAACATCAGGCATGTGCCCAGAATCCTGAGAGGAGGGAGAGATGGAGAAGAGATTGTGCTATGATTATGTCCTATGGGGGGGTTGCTTTCTCACTTCCCCTGTCTGGCAAGTACACGTGCCCTCTGGTAAAAACAAAACAAAAACAAACCCAATACCCCTCGTTTCAAAAGCTGATTTCAGTCTGCTGGTGCAGGAGGACTGGTGTGAGGAGGCCGCCTTGTGTGTGTTCAGGGTGGTGGCGTCTCGTTGGTCCTCAGTCCTTGTTATCGTTGTCTGCTATGTGATTATTCTCCTCCTCAGGTTTTCTACATTGTGGCTGTCAGCGTTCACTTTTCCAAAATGTATTTTTAAAAAACAATGTGTCTCATTTATTTTTTTATTTTTAAGTTTTTGCCATAGGGTATATACCTATGCTGGAGAGAGACAGAGACAGAGAAAATGAGAAATCACCACCCCCAGCCGGGATGGCCATGCGACATTTGCTTCTCCATTCTCCTCTCGGAATTTTGGGCGCACACGCCCGACAAGCTGCTCGGTCTGGGACTCAGACTGCGGTTGGCCATGGGGGTCCATCCAGTACCCTAACCACCACACTTCCTGATGGCCCCTGTGCCTCAGTTTTTATGGTATTGTTTAAATACAGTACTTTCTCAGATCGGCTTTAATGCAGCAGTATTATTCTACACAAGTGATGTTTCTAAAGACTAATGCTTGCTTCCTTCTCTTTCTGCCTTTTGTTTTGTTTTTTAATTTGTTGTAGGGCACATGCACTTGCTGGAGAGAGACACCCACACATACACAGAGAGAGAGAGAAATCATGCTGTAGTCTCTCCTCCTCCATTCTCTAGGGATTTTGGGCATTCATATACACACAGTTGGTCTGATTTTCAAGCTGCCATGTCTGGGACTTGAACGATGGTCGACCAGGAGGGAATCCAGAGCCTTAACCACCGTGCCTCCCGCTGGCCCCTGCCTGCTCTTCTAAGAAGAGAAACTTTGCTCATTTTGGACAGAAGCGATCATATCGAAACAGCCTAGTAGGTACTTCTCTGCTCTCCTGGGTGAGGTAGCATTCCTCAGGGGCTAGGATTACTAGGGGCAGTGAATGTCCCGAGTGGTGCCTCGGTGGTGCACTGGGGAAGTGCCAGACTGTGTCGGGGTCTTGGATCTCCTCTCTCCTGTTCCTGACTGGCCTTCGGTTCTGAATTTGCCTGTTATCGTCCCTTGGTTCAGAAACTGGGTGTGGAAAGATGTCCTGGCGAGCTAAAACCCCCCAGGGTTCCTGACTGGAAGAGGCGATAAGAACATGATAAGAACATCTTTTGTCCTGATGACACTCTGACCTCTGGCTAGCTTCAGGATAGGCCGGAGGCCAGAAAGGCCAGGCCTTGGTTAAAGCTCGGAACTTGCAGCCCCTCCCTCCAGCGGTGCCGGGTAGGGGGCCTGGAGAGTGAGTGAGCCACCAGTGGCCCGGAGTCCCTGACGTGTCCATGTAGTGAAACTCCGTAAACCCTAAATGACAGCTTCTGGGGGCTTCCGCGGGGATGACCACGTGACGTACGGGAAGGGTAGTGCGGGGACAGGGGCTGCTGCCCGCCAGACCCTTCTGGAGCCCGTCCTGGTTTCTTCATCTACTGTTCGTTGTACCCTTGATAACAGATGGTAATAGAAAGTGTCGCATTTCCTGAGCTCTGGGAGCCATTCTACAAGTATGGAAACTGAAGGAGGAGCATGGGAACCCTGGGCTTTGTAGCCCAGTCACACGGAAGTGTGGGTAACCTGGATCCCCAGTGCCTGGGACCTGATGCCCTAAGTGGGGCACCGTGTGGGCTGAGCCCTGTGACCTGTGTGGTCTGATGCCGATGCTGGGCAGTTAGTGTCAGAATGGGACAACGAGGCCTGGTTAGTGTCATATTCGTTGGTGACAGGAAATAAAAAAACCTTAACTAGGTAATTAGGTTTCCTGGAAAGTTATAGAATGCTATATATATGTATTTTTAAAAGAATTATTTATTTAATTTAACTTATTCACTTTTTTTTTTTTTTAATTTGACAAGAGAAAAACACAGAGAGAAAAAGGGAAAGTAAGCCACCAGGTCCACGACTCGAACCATGGTCGGCCATGTGGGAGTGTCCAGCACCTTAACCACCACACCACCTGCTGGTCCCCTAGAATACTATATTTTAAAAGTACACTTTCCTTCTTTCTTTTTAATCATTTATTATTTTTATTATTTTTTTCTCTTATTTTTAGTTTCTCGACAGGGCATACGTGCTTGCTGGAGAGAGACAGAGAGAGAGAGGGAAAGTGAGAAATCACCCCCAGAAGGGATGGCCACAGTGCAGTCCCTTCTCCTCCACTCTCTTGGGATTTTGAGCATGCATGCACACGTGCCCAGCGTGAGTTTCAGACCGCAGGGTCCAGGACTCGAATAGCGATTGACCATGGAAATCCATCCGCCTTAACCAGCATGCCACCTGCTGCCCCCCCAAATGCCACAGGGCATGTGCATGTCTGAGAGAGAAGCACCCTCCGGTGGGGCCTGGTCTCGCCACAGTCCTGTCTTCCCCAGTCCTCCATCCCATCAGGATCCCATATATTTTCTAATGATAAAAATAATATATATTCCTGGGCTTAAAGAGGTATAAATATAGGGACCAGCAGTTAGCGTAATGGCTATGTCGCTGGACTCCCACATAGTCGACCGCAGTTCGTGTCCTGGACCCGGTAGCTTAAAACTCACGCCAGGCGCGTGTGCGTGTGTGCCCAAGATCCCGAGAGGAGAATGGAGGAGAAGGGATTGTGGCGTGGCCATCCCCCCTGGGGGGTGATTTCTCACTTTCTGTCTCTCTGTCTGTCTCTGTGTCTGTCTGGCGAGCGCACACGCCCTATCGCAAAAACCTTTCCAAAAAAAAAAAAAAGGTATAAATATAATTAAATGCAAAAGCTGAAAAGAATATGTCCTTTTTTTTTTTGGAGAAGTTTTTGCTATAGGGCGCGTGCACTTGCCAGAAAGGACAGAGAGACAGAAAACGAGAAATCACCCCCTGGGGGGATGGCCACGTCGCAATTGCTTCTCCTCCGTTCTCCTCTCAGGGTCTTGGGCACGTATACACACGCGCCCGGCGTGAGTTTAAGCCACCGAGTCCAGGACTCTACTGCAGTCGACTAGGTGGGAGTCCAGTGACATAGCCATTATGCTAACTGCTGGTCCCATAAAGAATATATCTTTAAGGGCCAGCTTGTGACCTACTGATTGAAGAGTTGGATCCCATGCGGCCACCTGCAGAGTTGGAATCCCAGCCCTGTGACTTGAAGACACACTGGGCATGTCCAGAATACCCGAGAGGGGTTGAGCGTGCCCGTGCCCTGCGGGATGCCTTCTCACTGCCCTTCTCTCACTCGCTGTCTCTCTCCAGTGAGCACAGGGACCTGCTAGCAAGTCAGTAAATAAAATCATGGGCAGTTAAGTTTAACCTGACTTGTGCTCACAAGTTTGAATAATTAGAATATTTTCTTTTCTCATTTTTCTGCAGTGGAGTTGAGCAGTTCACTAATCTTCAGAATAAGATTTTCATCTAATTATTTTCACTTTTTCTCTTGGATCTGTTTTGCTACTTGTAGATTTTTAAAAAATTATTTACAAATAAAATTTTTCTGTCGGTCCTCTTCAGACCCCACATTTGTCAGTGTTGGGCAAGTAGGGAGTGTTTCTGTCTTCACCAGAGCCGAGGGCAGGGAGGCCTGGCGCCCTTCCATGTCGGCCTGCCGTACTCGGTGCTGCCCTAACCTGTGTCCCGCGATCTTTCTCCACAGGAACTTGCTAAGAAGTACTCTGACAAGCTAGAATGTTGTGAACATGAAGTAGAAAAGATAATAGAAGAAATACGTTGTAAAGCAATTGAGCGTGGAACAGGAAATGAAAATTATAAAACAACAGGAATTGCTACAATTGAGGTCTTTTTACCTCCAAGGCTAAGAAAAGTGAGTAATTTCTCCCAATTTACAGAGGCATTAACGCTTAGAGATGTGATCAGGTGAATGACTATTTTTGTAAAGTACGGTCCAGAGGTGACATTACTTCACACGTTGAACATCGGTCAGCTTGAAAGTTAGTGTTATGGATTCTTTTTTTCTCCTTCTTTTTTAGGTTTTGCCATGGGGCATGTGTACTTGCTGAGAGGGACAGATAAAGACATAGGAAGGGAATGGGAGATGCCACCCTCTGGAGGGATGACCCTGCTGTGATTCCTTCCCCTTCTTTCTCTTCCTGGAATCTTGGATATGTACACGCACACTCCTGGTGTGACTCTCACGCCACCGGGTCCAGGACTCGAACCGTGGTTGGCCATATGAGAGTCCAGCACCTCAACCACCACGCCATCTGCTTGCCTCGTGTTATGGATTCTTAAACTGGGTAGACGGGACTTGAGGGTTTCAGAAGCCCTTGCAGGAGGGCGCATCACAAAGGCATTCCTCCTTTTTCTGTTCTGGTGGAGTCAGAGGACAGTCAGCTGAGGTTCAAGCTGGGCCAGGAGCATCTAGGTGGGGCCACCTCATCCCAGGGCCATGTCCTCGGTAGTTGACATCCAGAAATGTTACTGTGGCGCTGTGACGGGTCCCGTGGGTGCCCCGCCTGTCCTTAATGTCAGTGGCAGTCATTCTCAGAAGGAAGAATCCCTGTGTTCTCGTCTGTTCTGTTGCTAGTAACTGAAATTCAGTAGTTATTAATAAAAAAATTGATAAACATACAGGTTTATTCACCTCATTGTCTAGAGGGCTGGGGGCTTCCTGTGGTGAGGGCCCGTTGCTGGTGGATAACGGCAGCAGGCAGGAACTGGCGTAGAGCAGAGCGTGTCTCTGTCTTGTTTCCTCTCTTAGAAACCTAGCAGGATTCTATCCTGAGGGCTGCACCCCACTTCCCAGAGGCCCCACTTGTCAGCATTGTGATCACATTATCTTCTCTTCACTAACCTCACGATACAACCAAATCCCAACACATGAGTTCTGGGGGAACACATTCAAACTGTAGCAGTATATTTAAAAACCAGTATGCACAGACCAGCAGCAGATGGTATAATGTTTACATCACTGGACTGCCATGTAGTTGATTGTGGTTTGAGTCCTGGACCCAGCAGTTTAAAATTCACGCTGGGCACAAGTGTGTACATGCCCATAGTCCCAAGAGGAGAATGGAGGAGAAGGGATTGCAGCGTGGCCGTCCCCCTGGGGGGTCATTTCCTTGCTTTCTGTCTCTCTGTCTCTTTGGCAAGCACTTGCAACCTGTAGCAAAAATCTCTCAAAAATAAAGACCCCAGTATGCAGATGTCCATCGCTGTGTTATTCACAGCAGTCACAGGTGGAGTAGCCCGGCCGGCTGCCTGTAGGGACTGGATAAGTTACAAGCTCCAAGCTCCGCATACAGTAGAAAACCATGCAGCGGTGGACAGGAATGAAGTTCTGATATATCGGACAGGGAGCGCCTCAGGAATGCTACACTGTGAAAAAAGTGATTCCATTTACATGAAGTGTCCTCTATGGAGACAGGAAAATAGGCCAGTGGTCGCCGGGGTTGGAGGGCGAAGGGGAGGGAGTGGGGGTGCAGGGTATGATGTTCCCTTTAGGGGTGAGGAAGATGTTCTGAAGTTGGGTTGTAAGGCTGGCAGCCTCACCCGGTGGGGCCATGCCACCACCCCGTGCCCGTCGAGGGCACTCCGGTCTGCCGTGCTAGGTTACGTTCAGTAGGCTTTTCTTCCAGGCAGGCAGCAGCTCAGTCCATAGCTGATGACCTCAGTATCCTCTCTGATAACAGCTTTTCTGATGTTATAGAAAGGAGCAGCAGCTCCAAAAAGTGTGAAAGTCAAGTCAACGTCATCTTATCTGTCTGTCTTTTAATAGGACAGGAAGAACTTGTTGGAGACCCGACTGCACATCACTGGCAGAGAGCTGAGGTCCAAGTAAGTACCTGGCTGTCCTGGCTGTGTCGGCCTCTTCACACCGGCTCGTTTGGGCCTTCGAGACTGTCTCAGGGTAGGTAGGGCCAGTGTTACCTCGTTTTATGGGAGAGGAAATCAAGACTTCAAGCTGGAAGGCTCTCTGGGCTCACCCCTGGTGTGTAAGTGACAGCGAGGACTCGAGACTTGCAGACACGTGTCTTTACTTCCTGGTGTCAGGGTAGAGGAGTGGGAGCTTTGCCCCGACCAGGTGGCAGGCACTTGGTGATAGGGTGTTTGTTGGTTTGTTTGTTTGTTCTAAGGGAGATTTTTACTATAGGACATATGCACTCACCAGAGAGACAGAAAGTGAGGAATCACTCCCCAGGGAAGATGGTCATGCCACAGTCCCTTTTCCTCCATTCTCCTCTTGAGATTTTAGGCATGCACATACATGTGTCCAGTGTGAGCTTTTTTTTTTTTTTT